CGACTTACCTTATCAACAAACTACCTACACTTGTTCTGAAAATGAAAGCACCTTGTCAAATTCTAAACAATGAACAGATTGAATACAAGTCACTCAAAATCTTTGGTTGTGCTTGCTTTCTTGTCTCAGACCATATCAAGAACATAAGTTCAATGTTCATTCCACAAAGTGTGTGTTCCTTGGCTTCAGCAACTCTCATAAAGGCTACAAATGTCTCAGTCCAATAGGAAGAGTATATATATCTAGGCATGTAGTCTTCAATGAAAATGAGTTTCCTTTCTAGTCTGGTTTTCTCAGTAAAAGAAACGATTCCCAGAATTTTGAAACTATTATTCATTATCTACCTTTCCACACTCCTCTAAACAGTAACCCAACTTGCTCAACTGATAAAGGTCATTTTGATGCAACTCCAACAACACCACCTTTTGAGTTTGATCAACCAAGAATGGCTAAAAACTTGATATCTGAGGAATATTGAAGGCAGCCAAATTGAAGGCAGCCAAATATTGAAGGCAGTGACAAATATTGAAGGCAGCCAAATTGAAAGTCAAGAAAGTCCTGCAAATACTCAAATAGAGCAAACTGAAGCAAGTGATGAACTAAATTTAAGAGAGGCAGAATAGGGAAATTAGATTGTAAATCATCCTATATTACTAGAAGTAAAGCTGGTATGTTCGAAGCAAAAGTCTACTCAACTCAATGCAAACAGTGCAGCATTGAACAAAGCGGACTAGAACCTAACAATGTGGCTGAGGCTCTTACAAATAAAGATTGGAGAGAAGCAATGGAGGATGAATACGAGGCATTGATGAGAAATAAAACTTGGAAATTAGTACCATCTCTGATCAATCAAAAGGTAATATGGGTTTTCAGACTTAAACGAGATGTTGATGGAAGGATATCGACGCACAAAGCACGACTTGTTGCTAAAGGGTTCTTGCAGACATCAGGAGTTGATTACCATGGAACTTTCAGCCCAGTTATAAAGACTTCCACTTTGAGGATAATTCTTGTTCTTGCAGTCTCAAAAGGCTGGAGTATCAGACAAGTTGACATTAACAATACATTCTTGAATGGGAAACTAGATGAAGAAGTTTAAATGCGGCAGCCAGAAGGTTTTGTTGACAAAGCAAATCCCACCTTTGTTTGCAAACTAAAAAGGGCTCTTTATGGACTCAAGCAAACACCTAGAGCATGGTATGAAAAACTGAAAAAGGCTCTTCTGGATTGGAAGTTTTCAAAATCAAAGACAGATAGTTCCCTATTCTTTTACATGAATAAAAAACAAGTAATCTTTGCCTTGGTATATGTTGATGATATAGTAATTACGGGCAATGATTAGAAGATGTTGCAGGACTTTATTGATAATTTGAATGCACGATTTGCACTGAAAGATATGGGTGAACTACATCATTTTTTGGGAATTGAGGTAAGAAGAGGTTAATCAGGTATGCATCTCACTCAGATCAAGTATACAAAGGACCTGCTGAAAAGGTCCAATTTTGAGCATCTTAAACCTTGTGCACACCCATAACAGTAGGCAAGAATATCTCCAGAAGTAAAGGTGAAAAGATGGCAGACCCTTCTTTGTACAGAAGTGCAATTGGTGGACTACAATACTTAGCACACACACGGCCTGATATAACCTTTGATGTGAACAAGATGAGTCAATTTTTGCAAACACCTTCAGATGTCCACTGGAAAGCAGTCAAAAGAATCTTTAGATATCTGAAAGGGACTATTGAGCATGGATTATGGATTCAAAGGAGTTACAAAATGAGCATCATTGGTTTTGCTGATGCAGATTGGGCATCATGCCCTGATGATAGAAGGTCAACAGTCGGCTATTGTGTGTACTTGGGAGATACATTGGTGGCTTGGTCTTCAAAGAAACAACACGTTGTGGCTAGGTCCAGTCAGGGGCGGAGCCAGGAAAATAAATTAGGGTGAGCTGAAAAATGAATTTTTTTCATAGATGCTCTTTGCCACTCGAGATTTAGTTTAAAATATTAAACTCTTGACACTAATGACAAAATGGATCAAGATATATTTCCAAACATTTATGACAAAGTTCTAACAAATATATTTTTAATAGATAAAAATAAATATAGAGTATATTACTTATTTTGATAATAACAACCGTTTCGTGATCGAAATAAATAAATTTTTAACTTACAAGTATAAATAAGCAATATATGAAATACAAGTGCTTGAAATACAAGTGCTTGTTTGGCCGAAACCATTGGCTAAGTTTGCGAAGTGGTTTGCCCAGTGGCGAATCTCCTGGCTAGATGAGAAAAGATAAGTCCAAACCCTCAAATGCGCCCATTGGCAAGGTGGATAGTGAAGTTTTTTACCCTAAAGGACCGAAAGGTAGAAACATAATAAGCCCTGTTTGTTAATACTTTTTCATCTCAAAAAATTAATTTTTTCATCGTTATTTTTTATTTTTTCACTCACATGTGGAATCCACTTTTCTCTCCAATGATAAAAAATCAATTCTCATAATTAATACGGAATAGACCATAACATTCTCTTGGCCATGTGACGACGGGACTTATATGACGTGTACAAATATCATAAGCAAAGGAAATAACATCAAACAAAACCAACTTGGTGACAACCTCTGAGCCAATAAAAGGCCGACACGTGTTACAAGAGGTAAGAAATGTCTAATATTCCCCACAATCTATTTTTCCTACGAATACTTCCGGCAAATTGAAAGAAAAAGACAAGTAATTCTAAATCTTGGCCGAAATTCTGTCCATTTATCTTTCCCACTCAATAATATATTTTTCGATAACTAATTTAATTATTGGTGAAAATGATCACCAAACATGTCATCATACTAACGATTTAAAAGCATGCAGTTAACATACTAATGGATGGGATTTGTAGGTAGCTTGATCTAATCGAGTTTTAAGGTTAACTATTGTCGATGTGGTTTAAGTTCGTAGAATTAGCAGGCCGAGAAACCAATTCAGAAACTACGGTTAGAGAGATAAAAGTCGAATTTTCTTTAGCTGTTTGCATGCAATTAAATGATCGGATAAAGAAAAATAAGCGTTAAAAATTGATGTGTTTAATAAATGAGATTCATGTTCTTGTGGATTACAATTTTACTGATTGAGATTTACCCTGTTTTTTTTTTTTTTTTTAGATTTTAATAAAAGTTAAAGAAACATATGATTAAATTTAATCATTGATTTTGATAAAAAAGAAAGTTGTTTTTTTAATAAAGGTCGACAGGAAAATAAAGCATGTCCTGCGATGTCGACTGTAGCGAAGTCATCAAAGAACAAGAATGGGCATCGAAGAGGCATAAATTGAGATTATAGTAAAAAGGCAAACAAAAAAAAGATTCCAAAGATAAATAATCATATTAAATGACAATTATGTCCTCCTTCGAGATGAATTAAAAATTATAAATTAAAATTAACTCTCAGCTCGAGAGCGTACCTTCCTATACATACAAATACAATGAATTGAAATTACTAACCAAAAAAGAATAAATTGGAAATGACGTCATATTTCTACAATTATTTCTATATAAAATTGACAAACGATAATTAATTTACCATCTTGCCACACCATTCTCGTCCTCTCCGGCGACCCAATTTCTGTTACTATTCCTCCTCAACACATACCTACTAAACGCCGAAGAACCCGAACCCGACAAGCTCCAGCTCCGGCTAACCCGAACTCCACCTGAGGAGGAAGAATCCGATCTAAATCTCCTAAAAACCGAAGAGAAATTAGCAAAAAGTCGACTGATTCTACCGCGTTCTCTCCTCCCTCTCCTCGTTACACCCCACTCAATTCTACGGGGCATGCCGTCATCATTGTTAAACCCACCGTCAATTTCTGTATAAACCCCCGGCATAGTTCCTTGCCCATTCCCGGATGTGCCATTGCCGCCTCTAGATTCGCCCATAAACCTCCCGACGGCAAAACCTCCGCCGGGCAACCTCCATATCGTCAGCCCAACACTCTCGTCGTTGCCCGGTTGACCGGGATTTTCGGAGATGGTCTCGCTAGGTAATTCATGGCGGCAAACTGGGCAGGAGTTGCGCAAGGAGAGCCAGGGAATGATACAATCAGAATGATAAATATGTTTGCAAGGCATTTCAAGAGCTTCGGATCCGAGCGCGAAGGCTTCCTTACAAACGGCGCAGTGTGAATCGGAGTTCACATGGCTTGAAGCTATGTTTATTCTTGGCATTGATTCGATGAATGATTTGGACGCCGGAGGGTTCTCATGTCGGCCCCCCCAGGCAGTGATTTCGATCTGTGAGAGCTGGTCGAGAAGTCGATCAAATCCGGATCCCATCAAGAACTCCGACATGGTCGACGGTAAAGGCCGGAGCCCAGATCCAACACCGTCGTCGTAGTACAACTCATAGCTCCTCTCTCCTCCTCCTCCCTCCTCTTCATTACCGGCTTGGTTTACCGACGGGCTGCGGAGAACAATAACAGGATTAAACGGAGATCTATCACGACGGCGACGTCGGAGACGATACCCCGTACCAGCTGAGTTCCGAGGAGAATCAAATCGTTGGCGAGGGTCCGGCGAGAAAGCCATCGCCTCTACCGCCTCGATAAATCCGCCATCACAGTATGGGCAAATTAGGCTGTTTTCCGGCCAGACGGTGATGAATCTGGTGCATTGGTAACACCAGTATGACGCTGATGGAGACGTTGATGCCATACTATATTCCGATCTACGATTCTTGTGTCACCGGAAAGTGATAATGGAAATATAAAAAATGGTTGGTGATGAATGATTAGACGAGTATTTATATACATAAAGGAAAGTGGGTGGGTATTATGGTTTGTGTGGGAAGAAAGACCGTGAGATTGTAATTTCCGTAATTTTAGACACGCGTGATGATGGACTTAACGGCACAAACGCGTTTGTACGTGTTAGTACTTTTTGAATTACAATGAAATTCTTGTAAAATGAAATATATTTTTTTCCAAAATGATAAAAATTGCACAAGTGTCAAAACGATCTGGATGTCCATCGTGAAAGCCCGATTCAAGCTCAATTCGAATCCTTCGTGAGAAATTATCTTTTTATCATCTCTATAGTGGTAAAAATTAATTTACTAATTCAAGTGGCCCAAACCCTAAAACAATGTCCACAGACGGTCTAGTCGTGCCACTCTTGGCCCAACTCATTATAACGATCGATCCAAATACACAATTCAAGATCCACATGTCAGTTCAAAACCTCCAATAATTTATCGTCAAGATAAATCAAGTTACGACTTATTCAAATTTCGTAAGAGTTATCTGAAACGACTCTGATATCTCAACCGAACAGATTGGAATAGATTTGGCTCCAACCAACCAAGAAATCTCGGAGAATTCCCTCTAATCCCACCAAAACGGTTATCCTACTCCTATAAATTTTGCGGCCGGTCAAGCATTCAAGTATATCAATTCACTCTATTCTAATTCAATTCTTCTTCCTTTCCATCTGACATTTATTCAACTCTTGACAAGATTTACTGACTTGACTGTAGGAGAGTCTTCGGCGGGTATCACACTGGTGTCCTCTTAATGCTCATTTTCCTTCGTTCTATATTTTTTGAGTTCCGCAGGATTGCTGGTGACCTACTTGATCTGATTTTTTGGTTGTAGAATCTACCTTCTACAATCTCCATAAGCGAGCTCTTAATTTTAGAGACCCTTGTTATTTTCAATACATTTTTTGAATTGAGAAAGTAGGAATTGCATAACATCGTTGCATTTAAGAATTCATTACTTTGAATTCAAATAGAAATGCATTGGAAGGTAGAAATACTTTGATGATAAATATTTCTATGCAATAGTTAGGAATTCTTGAATATGTCGAGCAGAAATAATTAGTTGTTTCTGAATATTCTGACTCAGCACTAATTATTGCCTTGTCATTATCATATATGGTATTAGGGACCATGTCGAAATAAAGTTGATCATACAATATCCACCAGCTGAACTGGACGAATAGATTTAGGCTTTATATTGCTTTTAAAACGTTATTAAAAATATTTTTCTTAAATTCTAATCTAAAAAACCAAAAGACTGAGCCCTTCAAATATGGTAGATCTTAGCTTAAGTCTTAACCCTATTGAATGGTTGAATAAGGCTTGTGTTGGATGTCAAAGGGTCGAGACGAGATGGGTCAACCCTAACTAAACAAAGAGTCCAGTAGAATTGAGTGTCAATCCCTAAAAAATAAAAATTTCAAAAATTTTGGGTGCGTTTGATTGACAATATTTTTCATTGAAAATGTGTTTTTTTCACTCAAATTCATACTTTTTTGCTATTTGATTGTCATTTTTTCAACAGAAAATATTTTTCTACTTTTTGTCATGTGTTCATTTTTTTTCCTCAAAATCAAGGAAAATATTTTTTTTAGGAGGATTAAGATTTTATTTTTCCGGGAATTCACTCTCTAAGTATAATATTTTCTAGCTTGAAAATTAAATCAATCAAATACATTTAATTAACAATTTCAATGCAAATAAATTTTAGACAATTGAATTATCAAGAATTTAATTTATTTCCACGGAAATTTTATGCTTGTAATCAAACGCACCCTTATATACTCTTATGAAACTAAACTCACGACATAAAAACCGATAAAATTACAAATAACTTGTCATGAATTTGTATATATAGTTTATAAACAAAAATTCGCGTAGATGAGAAAATAAAAAAGACATTCATTTTATAATTAGAAAGTAACGCCGTTACGAGTGGTTTTGAAAGTGGACTAGTCTGCTCTCGTTAACTCACTATTAAAATTTTCTAATTTTGATATGATTATCCTAAAAGTCAATGAGTAAAGTGTAATTAATTAATTATCGACGTCAAGGAGAATCACGCGTCCAGGGGAGAGCCGGCTGGCAAAACTGTGGATGATCGCAACTTGACGAGGAAATGACCTTTGGAACGCCGAGTTTGATATTTCTATGCGAATAATCACCATTTATGCAAGGAAGATTCTTAACAATAGAAAATAGAGAAAAAGGACAATACGCGGCATACTGTTCTAGTGGGCCCACTGGCAATTTGTATGAAAGTTTTGAAAGGGAATCAACGGCACGAAAACTTTGATAGAAGTTCCTTGTTCCTTCTTGAATTATGTTATACAAACATGTAAAAAAATAGGGCGTACATGTCAATATATAATTAAATCGTTTGAAAAATGCCCTCCGGAGCACATCCAAGTTGGCAAAGGAAGGACAGTGCGGGACTCGCAACCCCAGCGTGGGGAGTTCGATTCCTGGTTGGAGCAGCTGAGTGTTGTAATAATCAGAGGAAGGGTTGGAGCAGTTTGGTGATGTAATAACCATGGAGGAGGCTCCCTTGGGGCCAGGAGTATAAAGGCTGTTCGAATCCTGGTCAACTTGGGCACATCTCGCGATTTACCTCCCTGAGCTGCTGAGGGGCCGGAAGTTCAGGGACGAGGATATAGTCTGGCGTAAGCTGGGACACCTCGTTAAAAAAAAAAAAATCGTTTGAAAAATAAAACAACAAATACTCAATCATTTACTGTTAAGTCAATCAATTTTTTCCTATCTTTGGGCCCGTATAAACATCATATTCCTTGTTTTTTGCCCCTATTTGACCCTATTATTTCAAATTATAATATGTAAAATATTAATTTTTTGGAGAATGAGTGATTGAAAAAGAAGGAAAATTTTTCAATTTACGTGTAATATTATTTTATGGACGATTGTGTGACTAAAAATAGGAGAGTTGAAAATAAAATTTAATTCAATGGAGCCAAATGAGGACTATGCGTTAAGTAATTAAAAGAATACTTGAGATAACAAATATTTTTCTCGTTCTTGCTGGGCATGGAAATTACTTTTTACATTACGTCTTTGCCCCTTAGATTCCAAATTGACTTGCCTACGCTTTGACTACTTGGATTGTCGAACTACTGCTTCTCACGATTACATGCTTTATCCCGCTTAAAGAGTCAAATCAATATGTTTTAAGAATTGTTTGAATACTAATCTCTTGGATCTCTTATTCTCACGTTATGTTGATACTTGATAGAATGAACTTGATAATTCACCGAAAAATGGATTGTTGATACTTTCGATTCTATGAATTTTATGCAGGAGTTTTTAAACGATAATGAATCCTTGCATCTATTTCAAATAAGTATTCTGATCTAATAATAGAGGTATTTTTGTTTTAAAATGTTGTTGGGATATCTTGTATAATGATAGAGTTAACGAGTTTGTTTTCATTCCTTTTCAAGTGTATGTTATATGCACACTTGAAAAGTACGTGTTCGGCACACAGTACAAGGCCTATTCAAACACAAAAGAGCAGAAGATTGCAATTATATGCACTTCTATGCTCAAATAAGTTAAAAGAGACACTTGAAACTTGAAAATATATTGAGTGCTAGATTGATGCTAAAGGAGATAGATTTGCATTGTAGAAAGAATTACTACTTGTGAGAGTTTATAGCCAAGAGAAATGAAAGGCAGCTACTTGAATGCTAGACGTATGGTCTTATCTCGACGATTTACTAGTTACGTCACAATATCGTGTCCTAAACATCAATAGGTCTAGGACCTCGAACGCTGCTATATGCGAAAAACATAAAACTTGATACAATTGTCACTGCAAATTAAGACTCACTAATCACATTTCACGTGGCTCCATATGCTAGAATGCAACTTACACAAGGCATTAGAGATCTAGCCTCAACCACCTCGGATTAATAAGGTCAATTTGGTGTGGCTAAAGGTTAAGTATCTTCTGATAACCTCGAATTGAAGAAGAAGCAAAGTGACGATGAGGTACATATCCTCCAATTGAAGAAGAGTAAGGTGAATGGTGTTCTGGAGGAGGCTTAGAGGAGGTTTGGAAACACGTCTTTTGTAAGAGGTCCTAGAGAGGCGTCCTCTAAAGTAGGCTTGAAAAGAAGTCTTTCGAAAGAGGCTCGAAGAGGTTGGAGGAAGAAGTCGTGAAGCTCATTTACATCATCTTTTACTTGGTTGATAGTCACGTGAATAAACGTTTAAAAAATATAATTACGGCCTAGTGCAAGATACTATGGAGTCAAAATTCTCTATATGTTGTATTCTTGTTTAAGAAAAAAGGCGTCAAAACATTGTGTTGTTCGGTGAAACGTAAAGTAGACAACTTTATTGGTAGAGATATTGAAAGAAAGAGCATATTTTGGTCCTTGTTGCCCATATGCCATAAAGTGATGTTTTCTCATTGTTATAAATTATAATAACGTTGTTGACTAGTTGATGCTAAATGTGAAAAGACAAGGGGTGGGACCCTTGGCTTGAAAAGCTTGTGCTTTGCCTTTTAATGCCTTTCACGCTCCAAAAGTAACCTACAACTTTCTCATTTTCATGCCATAAATTTGGCACCGCATAAAAAAATAGACTTCGAATGAATGAAGTACTTTAAAAATTTCGATAAATTTAACTTTCGAGGTGGATGAGAATTCTTTTTTATTTTTTTATTGAATGGCACAAGTTCGAGTTCAAGATTTTATAATTTCATATGAACTTAACCGTTAAAGGAACGTAACTAAATTTTAAAATGTAGTCGAAAAAAAAAATAGAAAATGGCTTTTGTTCAAGAAGTTAAATATTTGTAACAGTTCAGTTGTTTTTTGACGATTTAGTTTCACCTATTGGCAAATGAGACACCTGTATACAAATTTGCTATTTCTCGTTTCATTCCGAGCCACCAAAAGTGTACTTCGAGTATGCGATTACATTTTAATACTACCTGAATTTGATTATGTCCTATATTGCCAACATTATGCTCAATAAGCATCTTCTGTGCCATGCCACTCTCTT